CGCCGGGGCGGGAGCCCCCTATATAACAATTTTTAAAAATTTGCTAAAGGGGGCATGTACTCAACAGAGAGAGAGAGAAGAAAGTAAGACAATTCCTTTTCCTCCATTACCCCTTTGCGATTATGAGCACACATTGCACATTTGCATCTGAAGTGTTTCTCAAGCCACTGGACCTGTGACTTGAACCTCTCAGCTGGCAAAGTGGGATTCAGCTACCCCAACCATCACACCACCTGCTGGCCCACATGTAAACATTTTTTTAGAGAGATTTTTGCTATAGGGCACATGTGCTCACCAGAGAGACAAACACAGAGAGACAGAAAGCAAGAAATCACCCCTGGGGAGATGGCCACACCACAGTCCCTTCTCCTCCATTCTCCTCTCCGGATTTTGGGCATGCACACACATGCACCTGGCGTGAGTTTTAAGTCACTGGGTCTGGGTCTCAAACCATTGTTGACTACATGGGAGTCCAGCAGTGTAACTATTACATCGTCTGCTGGTTCCCATAGGTAACATTTTTTAAAGCAGTAGCTTTCTCTTTTCACAGAAAGCTAGTTTAGTTGTTCGGTGAAAATTAATTGTTTAGGGAAAACTAGTTTAGTGTTCAGTGCAATAGCTAATTAGTTTTGCATTATGTTATGTATGTTGAAATTTTATTTTCAAGCAGTTTTTAAAATGTGTTCATAGAAAACTAGGTAAGATAGAACATATGGCACAGTAAATTTATTAACTATATAGTCTTTAAATAAGGCAAGAGTAAGTGTTGTAATTCTCATATTGTGGAAAGAAAGTCCCGAGATATCTGTCCAGCTTTCAAGGGCTTTTGAGGGTTTTGAGGGCTGCTAAGAAAATAAGTTGGTGATGTGGCTCAGTGATGGTAATAATCACGGTCTCTGATCCCAGCTATACCCTCAGCGTCAGGTAACAGTTCTTTTATGTGATCCTCTCTTTGTCTCTGAAGTGTGCATTCTCCAGTCTTACAGCTTTCCACAGGTTGCATATTTCCACTTCTACTCTTCCTTTTTCTTCATGGTGGCCTTATCCCCCATTCCTCTGCAAGAGGAGCTGGCATTTATATGTAATCTCGGATTACTACTTTGGGACCATATGTAGTCCTTTAAATTTCTAAATACTTTAACTTATTTCACTCTCTCAGAAGTTATTTCTTGTTATAAACGAGTTTATCTTATTCCCTGTGTCCTTATTCATATCCCTTTTCCTCTCATCTCTACAATTAATCCTGCTCCTTTGTGTTTTTTGTTTGTTTTTTTTTACCTCCAGTCTCTGTTTTTCTCTATATTTGTCCTTTATTCTCTTTGCACATTCTTTGTGTCTCTCCTATTTAGAACATTAAATAGTCCTCTATATTTTTTGTTTTTGCTGTAAGGCATGTGCACTCTCCAGAAAGACAGAGAGAGACGGAAAGACAGAAAACGAGAAATTACCCCCCAGGGGCGATGGCCATGCCATGATTCCTTCTCCATTTTCCTGTTGGGATCTTGGGCATGCACACACACGCACCCAGTGTGACTTTAAGCCACCACATGGAAGTCCAGCGACATAGCCATTACACTAACTGCTGGTCCCAAATAGTCCTTTATTAATCCAATATCTTTGTTTGCTTGTAGTTCTCATTCTTCTTCTTGGTTACATTTTTTTCATCTCATCTCCCACTCCCTTTTCAACCCACTGTTAATAAGCTCCCAACTTTCACTCCACTGAACTTGTTTTGTCAAGTTACTAATAAAGTCTTTTTTTTAGAGAGATTTTTGCCATAGGATGCGTGTGCTCACCAGAGAGACAGAAAATGAGAAATCACTCCCCGGGGGTATGGCCATGCTGCAATCCCTTCCCTTTCCTTCCTTTTTTTCCTTGGAATTGTATACATGCACACATGCATACCTGGCATGAGTTTTAAGTCACTGGGTCTGGGACTCAAACCGTGGTTGACTACATGGGAGTCCAGTGATGTAACCATTATGCCATTTGCTGGTCTCACTACCAAATTTTCTTTCTGCTTTCCTACTTTTCTTCCTTGTTTTATTTTTCTTTATAAAATGTGGGGTTTTTTTTCCTTATGAATACATAGTTGAAACTATTAAATAGTGTAGGAGCACTTACAGTGAAAAACAAGTTTCCACATTGGCGTTTGTCATTTGCTTGTTTCCTTTTAGCACAGTGAGGGGGAACAGTTTTCTGTGATGAGACACACGCCTGCCTTCCTCAGTGCCAGACGTAGGAGGTTTTACTCTGGAATATAGATATCCACTTTAGTGAATTTGGTTCTACCCAGACTTTTTTTTATTCCCCTTTCATTTTCTTTGGAGAGAAATGTTTTCCAGTTACCAGACTTTTGACTGATTTTGTTGGGAGTAAGGATTCTGTCATGATTAATTAAAAGTCAAGTCCAACTGCTATAGCAAGACCCCATGAGAGGCCTAGGTTCATTTCCCAGACCACCTTAAAAACTTGGCAAGGCCTGGCCTTGGGGACTTGCTGGGCTGCAGTACTGGGGGCCACATGGCTCATTGTAGGTTCAGCTCCCTAGCACAGTTTACCTGAAATGTACCAGGTAACCTGAAACACTCTGAGTGTGCATGGCCCAAAATCCTGATGAGCTGAAAGTTAGGGCAAGGCAATCACAGCATGACCCAGACTCTTTTTGAGAGTGCCTCTCCCCCCACCACTCTCGCATGCACATGCTTTCAGTAACAAATAAAGTAAATACACTTAAAAAGAAAAAATAGTTGGATGAAGTGTCGTGTTCCTGTTGTTCCAGCCTGTGGCCCAGATAACTAGCCTTAGGGGAGCCTGAGGGCGGATGATGAACTCAGGAAACAAAGAGTCCAGCATGGAAGAGAAAGGATTGAGGTGTGGCCATCCCCACCTATTTTCTCTTACTCTGTCTCCTTTCCGCTAATGAACACACATGTGAGAAAACAAACAAAGAAGGTCAGGCATGGTGGCATGTTTCTGTAGTCCCAGCCTGTGTCTCAGCTTCTCAGGAGGCTGAGGCAGGAGGGTCATGACAC